CCACTATCACTACCAACATTACGACTACCACCTCTACCGTCGTCACCCCACCACCACCTGTGTCACAACCACCACCATACTGTCGTCACCACCAATGTTGCCACCCTGCCACCACCACCCTACCCACTGCATCACCACCACCATCACCACCATCGTTGCCTCTACTATACCACTCTATTATCGCCCCACCACCACCTCCCCTACCATCACTATCTTTGCCACTATAACTCTGGCCACTCCTACCACCACCACCACCATCCCCACTACCTTCACCATCACTCATCACCAGTAGCATCGTCACCTCCACCCCCTACCACCACTTTTCCACCACTGCCACTGTTCTATCATCTCCCCCTACCACCACTATCCTTATCATCCCACCACCACCCCCATGTCAATCACCAGTATCACTGCCAATACCGTCCACCATCAGTATCATCGTTCACTCCAACTGTAACCAGTGTTTAAATTTTTTTCTCTTTCATTTATATTTGTGATTTGATTTTAAATATAAATACAAATATATTTATTGTTAACTTTTTATTATTATTATTTTGTGTATTAAGGCACATACAATAACTAGTATATATATAATTTCTATAAACTTAACATGATACAAATTATTATCAATCCAATTTTTACAATATCAAGATAAATATTTTCTACGTCAAGAAACAAATATGAAAATACACATATATCTATAAATTTATAATATAAAATATGACATACTTCAATAAGTTTATCCGACAATCTAAAATAAATTTATCTAACGGTTACTAACATTCTTCTCAAAATCATTCATATTGTATTATGTCTTATAACACTAATTATTCTTAATATATATATTTTATATATATATAATATGATAAATTTTAATAAATTAATCAAACAATTTCAAATAAACTCATCACACAATTATTAATAACGCTCTTAAAATTATTCAGGTCTTTAATCATGGCTTTGCTATATCGGGAGTGTATATATATATTTTTAAAGTAAATTAAAGTAGCAAGAGGGAAGCAGCCTTGGGGTGGGTACAGGTGTCGGCAAGGGTGTACGAGGTTTTGTACCTAGGGAGTAGGGAGACGTGGACGCTTCATCTCCATTCGTGGATAATCTTTACTATCATATCTACTTTCCACTCGTCAAACTTTTCCTTTTTATATTTGTTTTCTTCATTTTTTTTTTCTTCTTTCTTCATTCGTCGTTGTCCACAGTTTATTACTTTCTCTCTCTTCAACCTCAATTATTGCATAGTTTAAATAAAGCATTGAACTCAAAATTACCAAAACCTCCTTCATCCATCCCATTTTTGTCTTGTTACGATCTGGACCGTTAAATTAAATATTACAAAGTTATGCAACTATCGTAGGGTGATATTTGACCGAATACAATAATTCATAAAATCATACACGAATTAGCTTGAATAAGAGTGTAACCCACTCTCATAAAAGTTAAACTTTAGATTTCAAAAATAAATTGTGAAGAAAATATTGCATTCAAACTAATGTTATATAAATGATACGACATTTCAAATTTTATGCTCCATTTAATATAAAAAAAGAAAAAGTAGAAATGATGAAAAATAAGAGAGATAGACGTTCTCTCATTTTAAAGAAGGAAAATATGAATGATACATTTTCCTTCATTTGTGTTTGGTTGGATGGTTGAAAAAAAAAATGACTATTTTTTTTTTCTGGCTAAGATTAGGAGTGACAATCGATTCGTGTCGTGTGGTGTCAGATTCGTGTGGATTCATTAATGATTTGTGTCGAACATTAGTCAAACTTATAACTCAACTCATTTAACTAATTGTGTCGTGCTGAGTTGTGAATTGACCTGTTTATTTTCGTATCATGTTGGTATTCATGTTGATTTACATAAACTTTAAATAAAAAATTTAACGCTAATATTCTATTTTTTTTATGTTTAAAATTTTTAAATATATATATATATATATTATCATTGTATTTTTATATGAAATTAATATATACATAATATATGTATATATTAAAACATATATAGACAAATAAGATACATTTTAATGTAAATAATTAATTTTTTATTCACTTTCCTTTCGATTTTGGAGGGATTGATTTTGGTAAGTTAGAAATAAAGTTAATTCATCCACTTTTGCATCCTTCTTATTTTTCTTTTTTAATAAATTTAATGTTTTATTTATCCCTCCAATTTTTCATCATTTCATTTTTTTNTCCTTTCGATTTTGGAGGGATTGATTTTGGTAAGTTAGAAATAAAGTTAATTCATCAACTTTTGCATCCTTCTTATTTTTCTTTTTTACTAAATTTAATGTTTTATTTATCCCTCCAATTTTTTATCATTTCATTTTTCTATCGTACCAAAGAAGCATTAAATTTCAATTTTTAAGGGAGAATCATGAGCCAAAACATAGTGAGTGTCCGAGAATCATGTCAACTCTCTTTTCTTACAAAGAAAAAATCGAAGTTACAAGAATAATACCAAAAACGTAACCATCAGAAGCAGTAGGCCATAACAATCAGAACCTACCTTGTCCATGGCAAAAGAAAAAGATTTAAGCAAAAGCTTACTATATACAAGCATTCTTAAAGAAAAGAATAGACCAACCCAACTTCTAAGGCACCCTCTTTGAATGGATCATTTTCAACAGTTAGGCCCCTAAAAAGACTCGCAAGTAGACCATTCTATTGTTCACAATTTATGTCTCATTCAAATAAAAAAAATACTCGTCTTCCCGGAAAGGAAAAAAAAAACTAAAGAGAGATATCATTCTTTGTGAAGATGGAACAAAATAGGTGGGACTGTTTCCCCAAGTTGGTAGGATAAATATGAGACACACACGTAGACAATGCAAGTCTTGGCGAAGTATTAGTAGAGACATACCGAATTATGCCAAGTTTGATGAAATCCAGATACCCCCACTCTTGCTAGGACAGGACAGTTGCATTGGAGGAGGAGAAAAAGCATCAAGTATAATAAACATACTAAATAATAACAAGTTGTTGATCATGGCCAACAGTTACAATGTCACTCAAAGTTATTTAAATACACAAGGTGCAAGATTATCGTAATCTATGACATATTATAATTGCAGAGAAACTTCGAGGAGATTAAGATGCCAAAGCTAAGATAAAAAAAAAAAGAAAAGAACTTCTATTTATTGTAGTTGAATCAGAACAGTTTCCACATTAGAATAATTGATTAGTTTTTTTTTATAGCTGTGCTAAAAAGGAAGACAGGTTCACAGAAACAAATCAAACATGGTTTTGGAAGTTTGCTTTGCTTTTTACATGCCAAAGTGGGGGCAGTGGCTGGATGGATGAGCTTCACAACACAAAAATACCAAGCGCGCATGCTGGTGTGTGTTTGTGCTCGCGCGCAAGTGTGTGTGTGAGAGAGAGAGAGAGAGAGTTAAGTCACAAATTCAAAAGCTAAAGAGGGAAAGGAAAGATACCTTAAATATCAGTCCATCTTTGCCTTCATCTCTATGCTTTCTCCTGTTTAAAAAATATATAGCAGAAGGTTGTAGAGCACTTTTTGTTTTCTTCATCTAAAGAACAAACCGGGCAGGGCAGTTCACAATTTTTTATATCAACTGTTGTAATCTAAAGTTCTTTGCCCTTGGCTCTAACAAAAAATAAACAAGAACAAATTGTCTCGAATCTTGATGGAGTGCATGTTAAGGTATTCTTGTCCCAAAGATCTGACTCTAAGTTATCTAAAACCCTAGATACAAGTGCATTTGAAGTGTTTAAGCCACAGCCAAATGCAAACAAAGCCATCGACAAATTGGTAATCACATGCTATGCCTATGCCATCGACTTGTTTATGCAAAAAAGGAGCTTTTAAATATCAGCAGCTTACTGGTACACAACTCTAAACTTGAACTCCAAAATTGGATGGCCGCAAGGATTAAAATATCGTTTCAAAACGGTCGATACATCCGAAACGTTTCCGTTTTCAAGGAGACCGAAACGAATCAGTAATGGAATCGAAATTCTAATACTTCGAGTGTTCCATAATGTTTCAAAATATTTCAAAGTATTTCAATATTTTTTGATATATTTCGACCAATATTTTGAAAAAATAATTCTTAAATTTTTATTATTTTTCATTAAGTTTTCGAAACGGATCGAAACGTTTCCAAAACATGTCGAAACGTTTCAATTTTCTAGATAACCCAAATAATTTACCGAAACAAAATTTTGATTCTTGGATGGCCGTGATACACACATTCAAATTACACACCACAACTATTCTTAGGCTTAACTTCATAACATGCAGCAGCTACCACAATAACCCGTTACAAGAGGCCTAAGCTATAGCTATACATCATAATAAAGGTAACTTAAAATGACAGCTTCAGCAACTTGAATGTTTCAACAAAATCTAGCACACAGATAGGATCTAGGATCCCTTTTGATCAAGTCAATGAACTTCACAGTAGTTCTTTGAAATTCCACACATTTTCACCCCGGCATCATGATTCCATCTACACAGACTATCTTCCTTTTTTCTCTTTTCTACTCTCAACAATCAACCTAAGAATGACCCTGTTTATAAGAAAGCACAAGCTTCTCTACCTTTCATCCCTTCAAAAGAAGCTTAAGAAATCGAGTGCCATCTCTTTTCTTTTCTCATTAAACTCGGATTGGTTGATCCTTTTTTTACCATGTGCTATACAATAAAGGAAAAAAAAGAGTGTTGGATTCATACATATCTAATTCCTTTTAGCTTCACCAATGTTTAACTTAATGGTCCACTAGGTAATAGTGGGAGAAACTAGCACAACTTTAGCAATTCAGGAAAAAGAAACCCACAACTTAAAGCAAGATACTGAAACCAGAATGAACACCAATGCTTGATTGGTTCACTTGTTCTCTTGAGTCCATTACAAAAGGCAAGTAGCTAGTTTGATCGGTGGTCTTCCTTGAAAACATTCAAATCAAAACATTCGCACCATGTCCAATTCTAATGTCCCCACGTAACGTTTCAAATACTACCTTTTACTGATGTCTTGACATGGGCAAAGAATGCACCCACACCCCTAGTTTGGGCCAAACCCAACAGCACAACAGTAGAAGTTGGACTATCCTCCCTTGCCTGTGGCCCCAGTGAGCAGCAATATCTTCAGTTGCTATGGCTAGGTGTTAAAAATCTCAAATACCAACAGAGTGTTCTAATTATCTAGCCAGGACAGCAGCATAAATGGTGATTATGCTAATTTCACTGTTTTATTTTGTCAGGTTCGAACAATTTGATTGGACAAACACGTCCACTCTTCGGAGCATTATTGATTATTCATTTACAGGGATTAAAGTAGAAGAAAGATATAAAACTATTACAGTTGCATAATTCCTATGACATACCTGAATTCCCAACAATATGAATTTTACAATTCTAGTGAAAATAGGGCTGTAACATTTCCATAAACATGATAGGTAGACCATTATCATCAACAATGAAAAATAATTAGATCCCTGTTCATCCCACAACAGTTACAAAAACAGAAAACTGGAAACGATAAGACTGTCAAAGTGGAAGTGTCAAATCAAGGTCCTGCACCAAAGAGCATTTGAAAAATCAAAAGCAAATAATGGATGTATATATAAATTGATAGGCCCATAACAACTGTAGTTAGAATTAAAGAACAGTTTAGAATAGTTGATCAAATTGTCAGGAAAAGGGATTAACATGCCTAGATATCAATCGACTCAGCCTCCACCTTAATTCATCATTGTAACTTTTCAATGTGGCTATTGATTATGTCACTGTGCCCTGCAGTCGGTCATAGAAACACTCTTAAACTTTTGAGATTTATATACTCCAAGGGGGAAAGCAAAAATGAGAAACATGTATTTTCAAACAAGCATGAGATGTGTATCCTTTAAGCATGAGTACTAGGATGATTTAACCTCAAGGTACTAATATGATCCAAAATTAAAGTCTAGAAAGTATTACCACCCACATAAAGGGGGTTAGCAGTGGGACCCATCAATATCCGGGTGTTTTGCTACCTATTTAACAATTGTTGAGAACTTATTATTCACGAGGGAGACTGAAAGTGGAGACATTAAATGATGGATGGTACTCGGTCTGATCTGCCTATAGAATGTAACCACTGGAAGAGATTTCATTGCCCACATAAAAGCTGCTGCCAATTTTGCCCAAAATTAATAAACAAATAATTAACAGACCTTGACAATGTATTGTGTTTATCTGTGGCCCTGTCATTTCTACTCCATCATCATTTAGCAATGAAATCCCTGATGAAGTTATGATGAAAGGGAATGCCAGAGGGGGAGCCATTGGAGATTTTGCCACCTTCATAAACCGCTTCCCTGAAAGACAGAAGACAATGATGAATAATGTCAGATTCACAAGAACATTCCAAAAATCTTCAAATCCTTAAATCCCTGGAAAGAACAGTTTACCAAATAAACTTAGAGGGTCAGATTAGAAATCCAAAAAGTATGTCCATATGTGTAAAACTTAACGCATATAGTGTAGCTTTTCCTAAAAAAGGGAAAACCAGGTTTGCCTTATTTGCTTATTAATTAGAGATATGGATAGCATATGAATACAATGTGTAAAAGTAGAATGTGAATGTAAGGTATCGAGAACAAAGTTAAAAGCATTGTTACATACCTTCACAGGCGGAAGTGACCTAAGAAGGATGGACAGGGACATGCCGGCACGAAATTTTGCAAAAACATAGGACATAGACACATTGGGGGACACGTCAAACACTGTGTGTGTGTGTGTGTGTGTATATTAATAATAATCATTCAATTTATCCTTTAATCAATCCTAACAATTCACATCATGATATCATTCAATCATAAAATCCAATATCACATATACCGATACACAGTACTAATAAACATTCATGGTTCAACAATCAATCACTACCACAATTTCAATTTTTAAAAAGATCCCACTTCGTAACCCTAATTCTCACCAATTCAAAGCTTCCCAATTTTATAACCCCATTTTTCATCAAATTACTTTCATATAGAAAGTTCATAATTTGTAAACAATTTCACAATCATGTCCGAAATTATGTTATATTCATGTCCTATGTTCATGTAGTGATTATTATATTGTGCATTTGACACATATCTTTTTAAATTACAAAAATAGCTTCCATAATTAAAATGTTATTTGACAAGTTTTCAATAATTTGAAGAAAACAAAATCTCAAAACGTGTCCTCTAGTGTGTTGGTGGCATATCTCCAACGTGTTCTAAAAAAAATTTAACAATAAATATATCAAGCACCCATTTTAGCGTGTCAGTGTCCTAGAAGTGTCCGACATCAACACTTTAACAAAAATGAAGTGATCGTGCTTTTTACAGTGGAATCATAAGGAGCCTTGAGCATGCATTCATATAATCTGACTGAACAAAGCCCTAAATCACAAATAATTGGGTTTAGCTATGCCAGTGCTATTTTCCTCATCGAAGTCTATTTCGGATCATATCGTTCACATATGAAAGTCCATCAATCTTTCCTCAGTGGCCCTCTCATGTCTTCTAGGCTGTCATTTACTTTTTCTTTCCAAGCATCCTTTCCCGTCTTCAACATGGATCAAATCCTTACTATTTACAAATGCATTCATTGGTCTTCATTAAGCATTAACAAAGCTGCTTGGTTAACATCCTACTGTAGTTGTATATGATTATCACTTCTAACTTCTCACAGAAGCATTGCAACCTCTATTTTTTCTAGTGTTGCGACTTATCAAGTCAAAATCCTAATTTTGACAGCACTAGTTTTCTGAAAAGTTTCTTCTTTCTTTTTCTATTTTCTTTTAAAGTAATTACACATGGATTCTAAGGAAAGAAGAGTTCTAAGATCCATTCCTTTTCAGTTGTCTAGCTCAATGAGGTGGAAGAAAAGGAGCAAAGTGGAGAAAAAATCTTCCAAAAGAATGAACGCCTGCTACCCAAATATTCAACTGTTTGATTAGGATCGATTTACAGGAAAAAATTAGGAATAGAACCTAAACAAAGGAAAATGATTCAAATTTCTCATGTATTCTCTTTCCTTCCTTCCTTTCTTTATTCATATGCTGTTCACCGGAACACTGAAGCAAACAGACAAGATATCTTTTGACTGTTCGATATTTAGTTCAGAAACATTTTGTGTCAAGGAAAGTGCCCACTGCCAAACCAACCTGATTTAGCTTCAAGAACTAGTCGGATAGTAACAGAATGAGCCCAGTGAATCCCCAAAGCAGCTACGAGATGAGAATCAAATCTTGTGAAATTCTCTTCAGTATTACATCGGCTCTGCACTGAAAAAAAATACAATACGTGTGTTAACAACTTGGGGCAGAAATTTCCAAATAAAATCATGTGATTATACCTTGGAAAGAATATTGGGAGGCTTCATCAAGGCTTTGAGATCTTACTTGGTTTGTCACCACTACAGGAATACGAGAAAATTCTGCAAGTGACCTAGAGATGTCAAAGAAACAAGACAGTTGAGCACAAAAAATCCATCTGTTGATAACAAGTTTGAACAGGAAAGGTAAGAAGACAGAATCCTCACTTGATAAACGATATGTGCCAACCCAATGAATTTTGTCTAGGGGGTCCCTGCTCATATTCCCTGAACAAAATGAAACAAAATATTGCCTCAATAAAAACAGAGAGGATAAAACATGTTGCATGGTATTAAATAGTTATATACGTGAGTAAAATGCACATTTGTTGCATGTGGGAAGAGAGTATGAAAAAATCTCATTAAGTTGTTCATACAATGACGTATGAATACCATAAATTTTATCATATCATATGGACAATTGTATAATACTGGTCATCAACCAAGCAACTGGCAGAAACAATAGGATACCACCCTTTCTCCCATTCATCTCTTCCTCAGGTGTAAGAACAAGAACAGAGTTCAGTTACATCTTCACAAATTAGAGCTCTTGCATCTTTCGACTGAACATAGCAGTAAATACACAAAATGGCTGACGAAGTACTAGATGACATCTATCTTACTACTCACCTTGTTGTTTATGAGAAGTAAATAGAAGAACTCATGCATGAAAAGGGGCTTCATTTGTAGGATTATTAAAAACAACTGTTAATTAGAAAACAAAATCAAACCCACTTCAGAAGAACAAAAGATACTATTTTCAAAGATTTGCCAAAAAAATTGATAGTCCAAAATTATACTAATACATGAACTTCCATCTGCATGACCTTAAGTCTACCATCTTTTGTTAACTAGAATGATACTTCAAACCATGACCAAAGGAGAGGTGCAATATCTGAGTCACAGCTGGGGCACAGTTCCAGTGTTTCAAAGAAGTAAAACAAAAAAAGATCCATCACTAAAATACGACTTCTAAGAAACTGGAAGCGGATGAAATTACACACTTCCAGGAAAATGAGGCTATGTTGCAGAGCTGACAACTTCAGTTAAGCATAACTAGACTCTTCCACTCAGATGTGGTGACAAAGAAATGAACTTACCCTGAAACCAGAGCTGCCATGCTATCAATAATGAGCAATTTCACCTGGTGTTGTAGGAGTGAAACCTTAATTTGCTGCAAGCTGTTAACAATATAGTAACTCTTAGTTCAATGGCCAAAGAACAATTATGAACATATGGCAGAAAGACAAGGTCTACTATGAATAGGCATGATATAAAAGCCCACACCAATAAACAATACAAAAACAGTATGGATAGAATGGTGGGGACTTTTAAGTAGTACAAAAAGAAAAGAGACCGCATTAGGTAACTGAAGCCAAATAATAAGTAAAATGATTTTCAAGATTGAAATGATAGAATGCTCATAAGAATCAGTAAAATTGATTGTCAACCAGGCCAGAAAACTCAAAGTAATAGAGGACAAGTCCAATTTAGCAGGAGACACATTCACCAGACTTATCTTTTAATCAGTACAATTCTTCCCAACAAAATGTTATTAGTGGAAAATTGTTTGACAGCTAAGGCATGGTTTTAACCTATTCAACTGTACTAGGCTTATCTCGGTTGGTGATTTGCTCCACTTCTTGAAGTCTGTAAAGATACTAATACTTTTTGTGAACTCTTGTCTTGCCACAGCGGACCTAAGGTTTTAGACAAATTGTATGGAATTCCTAAATTGCGCTTGTCTTGTCACCACTTCTGCTGGCTGTCTCAATCTATAACTATTACCATTCCCTCTGCACTGAAAGTTTATTTAAATCTGATTCTATCCACTCATATGCCAAGGGCATCGAGTTTACTTCCAGTTCACACCTCTCGGTGAATTCAGAGAGTGTTGTCGGCCGCATAACTAGAATCCTACCAGCCATCTGCAGTAAAAATGAAAGATATATTTTTTTTAGATATGACACAGTAAGTAAACATAGTGAAGACATCAAAACCTGGACAAATCTGCTGTATACCTCCTGTGCCATTCCTTCTGTGCGAAATATTTCTGGGAAACTATTAAAGCCAATTTCTACCAGCCTGAGAAGGACAGATTTCATAATTCGAATATTTAGCATGTCTGATTAAAATTTGGGAAATCAAGTAATATCACAAGCCCGGAAGAAGTAATATCATAAAACATTCCTCAGGTACCTTCTTGAACTAAATTTGGATTCTACATCAATATATATTACACGACCACCTAAGCCCCCATAACTGGAAGGCAGTGAAGCCAGTAACGAAAGCTTCAGGCAAAGCTGCATTTTCAAACAAAATAAGGCAGAGAATCATCTGAACTAGCTATATTGATTATACAACAATAAACTCATACTTAAAATTACCAGAAAACACTATTATCTTAGCAAATACTATTTTGGTAAGAATGTTCCAGCACATGGTGCATTTCAAAGGCACAACAAACAAGTCTACATGTAAACACTTCTCAACAAATTAAATATGATTTTTATAGGTGTAGCCTGTACCACATTCTTAACCGTTCCCATCTTGCAAACCAAAACTATCCACTAGCGGAACGTGAGACAAGCAACCGGCAAAAGAAATGATCTCAATTGAAAAAGAATATGAGATCGTAGAAGAAATTATTCGTCGGTAAGATTAATATGAAATCATTTAACAATCAAATGTTAATCTTAAGTTTATTCAATTTAGTTTTCTCCATTATCAATAAGCAGTGTGTTCCCTGATCTTAGATTGGNAAAAGAGACCGCATTAGGTAACTGAAGCCAAATAATAAGTAAAATGATTTTCAAGATTGAAATGATAGAATGCTCATAAGAATCAGTAAAATTGATTGTCAACCAGGCCAGAAAACTCAAAGTAATAGAGGACAAGTCCAATTTAGCAGGAGACACATTCACCAGACTTATCTTTTAATCAGTACAATTCTTCCCAACAAAATGTTATTAGTGGAAAATTGTTTGACAGCTAAGGCATGGTTTTAACCTATTCAACTGTACTAGGCTTATCTCGGTTGGTGATTTGCTCCACTTCTTGAAGTCTGTAAAGATACTAATACTTTTTGTGAACTCTTGTCTTGCCACAGCGGACCTAAGGTTTTAGACAAATTGTATGGAATTCCTAAATTGCGCTTGTCTTGTCACCACTTCTGCTGGCTGTCTCAATCTATAACTATTACCATTCCCTCTGCACTGAAAGTTTATTTAAATCTGATTCTATCCACTCATATGCCAAGGGCATCGAGTTTACTTCCAGTTCACACCTCTCGGTGAATTCAGAGAGTGTTGTCGGCCGCATAACTAGAATCCTACCAGCCATCTGCAGTAAAAATGAAAGATATATTTTTTTTAGATATGACACAGTAAGTAAACATAGTGAAGACATCAAAACCTGGACAAATCTGCTGTATACCTCCTGTGCCATTCCTTCTGTGCGAAATATTTCTGGGAAACTATTAAAGCCAATTTCTACCAGCCTGAGAAGGACAGATTTCATAATTCGAATATTTAGCATGTCTGATTAAAATTTGGGAAATCAAGTAATATCACAAGCCCGGAAGAAGTAATATCATAAAACATTCCTCAGGTACCTTCTTGAACTAAATTTGGATTCTACATCAATATATATTACACGACCACCTAAGCCCCCATAACTGGAAGGCAGTGAAGCCAGTAACGAAAGCTTCAGGCAAAGCTGCATTTTCAAACAAAATAAGGCAGAGAATCATCTGAACTAGCTATATTGATTATACAACAATAAACTCATACTTAAAATTACCAGAAAACACTATTATCTTAGCAAATACTATTTTGGTAAGAATGTTCCAGCACATGGTGCATTTCAAAGGCACAACAAACAAGTCTACATGTAAACACTTCTCAACAAATTAAATATGATTTTTATAGGTGTAGCCTGTACCACATTCTTAACCGTTCCCATCTTGCAAACCAAAACTATCCACTAGCGGAACGTGAGACAAGCAACCGGCAAAAGAAATGATCTCAATTGAAAAAGAATATGAGATCGTAGAAGAAATTATTCGTCGGTAAGATTAATATGAAATCATTTAACAATCAAATGTTAATCTTAAGTTTATTCAATTTAGTTTTCTCCATTATCAATAAGCAGTGTGTTCCCTGATCTTAGATTGGTCATAGCATCATCTTATGGACCATTTATTGCACCACAAAAAGAGGAAAAAAAAAAGCAAGGGTGAGAAACCTGGCAGTTGATAGGGTCAATTCAAGATATGGGAGACATTACTGAAAAAAAGCCCCAGAAGAAACAACAAATGAGAGAAGTACTGGGAAATTTGGCAAGAGAGAGAGAGAGCAACTTCTGAGCAAAATCTGCACATGGTTATAGATCGTTTTTAGTGAGTGCAAAATAAGCACACCTAAGTTAAGAAGAGAGGAGTACTGTTTTGGTAGGTCAGGGCCTAAAGGTATAACGAAGGTGATTATTTGGAAGTTTGTGCAAGAGAGATGTCCTTCTTATAGTCTTGCCCTCTCTACCATGGAGGTATGGGTATTTTAAAGGCAATTTGGATAAGTAAAGGTTCCAAGAAAGGGTGAGGTGCGGAATAACGTCGACTGAAATGCCATCAGGGAAGTTCTTAATGTGGAGAATGTGGATCTGGCAAATAAAGGAGCACCACACCAGGGGGACACGAGTCTAGCAGGTAAGGGCCAACTTGATGAAGTGGGTGAAGGTTGTGTCATGTGTGTGAAATATTTGATAGTCACTTCCGTTTCTTTGTCAGGTCACTACATCATGCCTCAACTTGGGATCCCATGTCATGACGAATCCTACCCACATTCCAAGCCATGTGTCTTCAAGATTCCAAAGAGTGAAATGAGAGATCTCTGCAGTCCTCTTAGAGATACACTGGACGCTTCTCTTTGACCCCGGGAAACCCTAGCACCAACATGTTACCTGTAAAGCCACATTGTTTAACAGGTGGCATAGTCAACGGCTAGTAGGTGCATTTCATCGTGACTACCCAAGTATGTATGATCATGCCAGGCTTGTGCCTGTGAGGGTAACAGATTACGAGCAGAAGCCCAAGATGATCTTGTTGCAACAATCCAAAAGGAGCGTGGACCTTAGAAGACGCCGCATGTAGGAGAGTGACAGCATTAGCAGCCGTTAGAGCCCTTATCCCGTGCCCATTGGGGTACCATTACCTTATCCATCTTGCAATGATATCAGGTCACAGGTTATTAGCCTTAAGGGTATCTGCAACACCTATGAAAGACAACATTCCCTCACACTAGCTTCAATTTACATTATCATTAGTTTCTCTGTAATGCATTATATCCCTCTCAATTTACACTACCTTTAGCTTCTCGGTAATACATCATTTCTTATCCAGCATTTCTTGTTCATTCACTTATCCATCTTAACAATTCATACTATACGTTAACTGTTTTCTCACTATGCAACATATGGGATGACAAAAGCATGGTCATTCTATCACCATTGAGTGGATAGCCCTTGCCAGCATACAAAACAATCACGTAAAATGTCATCTCCTTTTAAATTAAAACATATTTAGAATGAATTCGAATTTTGACCTAAGTCAATAAATGTAGAGATATAAAAATAGCCTTCAAATAGTAATCCTAATAATCAAGACATCTTAGGATAAAAAGAAGGAAAAAGATGACAACTCACAACGGTATCTGATGTGACAAAAAGGTGCATTTATGATAACAAAGCACCCAAAAGTGGCTGGAAAATAAAAGGAACAACAGTTTTATCAAAGTGCCGTCTTAGTGTGTCATACCTGTGTTTTGCCAATTCCCGCTGGACCAACCAACTCTGTTAAAACACCAAATGGTATTCCACCACATAAAGCGGCATCCAATCCTTTCAAAAGTGTGGGAAGATGGCCAGCCAAGTGTTCGTTTTGGCTGCGGTGCTCCAGCAGTGATAGTGCCTAAAAGCACAACTAGAAAATAATTTGTGAGAAACAACAAATGAAGTGTGAGATATAATTCTCTTGGATGCTGAGGAGTGGACGACACTTGCACAATCAACACCCCAATATGTGAGATAATATCCTTACAGTTTGATGCCGTGGACATGCAACTTGACTGATGTGTGCCACTGCAAAGGTTACTTCCGCCAACCCCACATCCAACAACTCCATCAACTCAAATTCTGTTAAGGATAAGGCATCCTAAAAGAAAAAGAATCAAACACAAATCTCTTACGAGCAATAATTTGTAAATATCCACTCACTTATGTGTCTCTGTGCGTGTGTATACCTCAAAGTACTACATGGTATAACAAACACAAACATCAATACAGCTTGATTGAATCCAACATCCAATGGAATGCACAACTAGTATTGAGAAGAATTAGGGTTAGGAGCATCAGTTCAATAGTAAAAAGGGAAAAATAATAAATTAATTCAGATGTTTAGGAAATTAGAAACGAATGCTCACAACTACAGAATAAATGGCAAGTGGAAATTGAAATTGTTCTAAATTCCAGCAACGAAAGTCTTGAATAGTACATTATCAAACCATGAGAATATATTGTGTGACCATGCGATCACATCTACGCATCAATACATAAGGATGATGTAGGCCTTGTTTGGTCCGAGCAAGAGACGTTATTTTCAATTTCAAATTGTGGCTCATAATCATAAATAAAAAATTAAATTTCAGTTGGGTCACAAGAACTTATCAAATATCAAAACCGTAATTTCAAAAGCAATGAAGATAAAGTTCGTTAATGCATGAAATACGATTGAAAGAAAAATGGAACGGAGGTCAAGTATTTGGGTTGTGCGCTTCACCTTGGCGGTTAGGATGTTACGAGCAACGAATATGTTCCCTATTGATTTGGGGAGACCCATCTCACTGATCGGCTTGTTCGCCATCTCTCTCTCTCTCCCCTCCCCTTACCCACCAACCGACAAAGCCTGTGTCTCTCGCAGCTTCTACTGTAGCACTGAGCACTTCCCCGCCAATTCTATTCTTTGGCACGAGTCTATCGAAACTCGAAAGAGAAGAAATAAAAGGGCAATCTCACTTTGTACCCAAAAAATTTAAAATTTTTTAATTAATATTTTTAAAAATTAGTTTTTTTTATTTTATTTTATCATCTATTTATTAAAAGTTTTGTAATAACTCTTTTGTTAGTATTGTTGACTATTTTGTCAAAAATATTTCATTGATGTTAGAGTAGCAAAAATTAATAAAATGACTAGATTGCAATACTTATATTACAAAGCGAAAAATTTAATCCTTAATAATATAAAAAATAAGATTTTAAAGTATAATTCACCCAAAATAAAAGGTTGGAAATAACATTATTCAATTGAGATACTAAGCAACATCTTGGAAACGTCTTTAGTGATAACTGTGATATAGTGTTACCATTTTAAAAATTAAGGATAAGTTTGATAATATTTTTGTTTTTATGTTTTTTTAATAAAAAATAAAATAAAGTTTTTTTTGTAATAAAAATTAAAAAATATAAAACCTGTTTAATAGTCATTTATATTTTAAAAAATATAAAAATAAAAATAAAAATATATTTGATATTTTACCTAAAATCCACCGACCAACACCATCTAAACCCACCACCAACAACCACTAATCCCCACTGAAAATCCACCCCCAAATCTCCTGCAATCCACTACCCATCACCCCCGAAAACTCATCCCCACCCCTACCCCCTAAAATCCACCACTGATCACTCTCGAAAACCAACCCCCAAATCCCTTAAAAATCCACCACCTAACCCCACCAAAACCCAGTATTAACCACCACCCAAAAACCCACCATCTCTAAACCCCTTGAAACCCACCCCCAACACCCCCTAAAACCTA